ACCTCTCTTGAGTTCTGACCCACAGGTCTGGGGCTTGCCAGGCTCTACATGTGTGAGAAGCCAGCTTACGACCTCATGTAATAAAGTTTGGTGTCTCACAATTTTCTTGTTATGCAAAATTTCAAACTTACAATAATTGTTAAGTATCGTAGAGTCGTAGATGACCCATAGTGACCCTACTAATGAAAGTCTTGAACACAAAACTTTCTTTTCTCCAAGTTCATAGATTCTGGAGGCAAGCTTTTTCTTGGAAATAGATGTCTCTCCTGCTTCCAAGCCTGTTTTATTGGGGAGATCTACAAAAAAGTAGCAGGCCCAAAAGCCTTTTTAAATGAGGCCAAATCCAATCAGCTCATACCCTATTGTGAACAGCCGCCACACCAGTCTCAACCCCACCAGAAAACACACCTTAGCGGAATGCAGTCATTTGCCTCACCTTCCCAGCCTGGAAATAGCAAAAAAAGACTGTTTTGCACATTGACCCAGATTTGGTGAAGAAGTCAAGGTTTTAGGTGAGAGGAATGCTGGCTGTAAAGGCTTGAGGGTATGTGCTAGTTTGGCTTGGCCACGGTTCTCAGTGATTTGGCAGTTATGTAAAGAGAAAATTTGGCAGTTACATATAGATGTAGTCACCCTCTGTTTTCCTATTTTTGTGTAGTGACTTGGTCCTTGAAACCTAACCATGCCAGTGAGATGTGGATAGAGTCATATGCATACACACACCTACATATCTTCATACTGGCTCACAATGTTAATACCCTTACTGTGGGTATTGTGATTTTTAATAATGCACACAGATCTCCTCCATGCTAGTTCCACTCTATGCCTGTTGTTTGGCCGGGCTAACAGCAAACCTGTTCATTCTCCCAAATATCACATTTTGGATAAAAATTAGCCAGCCTCCTTGTAAGTTACTTTAGTTTTGTTTTATAGCAAAATAAAATGTCTTAAGAATGGTTGGTGGCTAACATTTTTTTTAAATTGTCTTTTTTTTCTTATTTTTTTTATTGGGAAAAACATATTGGGGGTACAAGGAGGTGAGGGTTGGGGGCAGAAGGGTGAGGATGGGCAGGGATGCAGTTGCAGAGCTGCACAGTTTGGTTGGTGGGGGGAGCAGGTGAAGGAAATTATGAGGGTCCAGTGGGGACCAGATGCTACAGAGGAATGAGAAGCACTTTCAATGGTAATTAAACCAACTGTCTTACTGATTTGGGAACTGGATGTCGACTCTCTGGCTTCTTCATGCTGAACAGGGGCGTAGGTGTAAAGGGGGGAAGGGAGGACGCTTTATCACCTTACTGGTGGTCTTGGCTTAAAGCTGCTTGCCTTTCTTGTTCTGTTAGAAGATATTTTTCTGTCATCTGCTCTATTTTATATTTTTTGTGTGTGTGTACTGTCAAATCGTATCTGACCAGTATAGGAGATTGTCCCTCCTTCTCCAGTAGAGCATCTGATGGATTCGAACCACACACCTCTGGGATTGCAGTGCAGCTTCTTGCCACTAGGTCACCAGAGCTCCCCCCCACAAGACTTTTTTAAACAAGAATGAATTTATGTATTTTTAAACCCTATTCTCATATTTCCAGAGAATTTTTTTTAAATGGGAAGACACCTATATTCAGCTTGTAAATACAATTAGTCCAATTTCAATTTATAACACACACACTAAGTGGCACAAAATAAACTCATAAACACATTAGCTTTTATAACAATCTAAATCTTAGCCAATTTTAGGGAACAATTTAGACTAGAGGGTGGTTTCTTAATGTGTGGAAGAGACTTACTTTCTTTGCACTTACACTGTTAATAACCAGCGAGATACCTATGACAGTCATTTGATGGTACATGTGTCCCTGGAGGCAATGGAAACTTCCCAGAGCATCCTTTTGACAGTCATTAAGCAGCATACAAATGACCTTCCTAGGTAGGAGGCACACTCTTTGTTTCACCTTTCAGGTTAACAGACATCACCAAGACTTTCCATTTCTTAAAAACAAGTCATGATTAAACTCCCTAAATTTAGGAAGCTTCAATTCCCAAGTCACTGACAAACAAATGCTTAAGGCTCCACTGCCCAAACTGAATCCTTTTATGGATCTAAAAGATGAGCAAATCAGCAATGGCTTATCAACTGGTTGCTTGCTACTAAACATTGAGTACTTATATGGATACAAGCAGTGGGACTGGTTTTCACTTTAAAGTCAAATGGATCAAGTTCTTCCCCAAAGCAGGAAACTTGGGAGTAGCAGGGATTTAAGATGCAGAAGGCTCTGGAACTTTATGCTGAAGGGTCAAGGGGTTTATCAGTCCTGTACTATGATTCCAAGAATCCCCAAACCCAAGATGAGTAGGCACTCAGTTCACAGAACTTGCCTGACTCAATGCTATGAAGTCCATGTGTATGTATGTCGAGTTTACAAGCAGAAGACTTAAAATCCGTTTTTCAAACAGGGAGTGGGAATGGATACAATGATGAAGATTATCTTCCAAATGGGCTGTTGGAAGAGTTAGTGTGGGTATCAGGTAGGCGAATAAACTACTGAGGGATTAGAAATAGCTCAGAAAGTTTTCTTCTTAGCCTTTATTTACATACAATTTGGTGTTTTCTTTAACAATTAAAAAGCGAGGATTTAGTTATAACTCAGCAATTATTAAATTAATGCTGCACGTTAAATTATGGGATATCCTGTAAATAATTGTCTGGAGACTTTTCATATATTTTAAAACAAGAAAGTAGCCTTTATATAAGTCTATCTTTATTTGTAAAAAATAATATACAGCTAAAGCTAATTTGATTATTTAAAATCAAAGTCCATTTAGTGATAACGTACATTTGTAATAAAATTGTAGTAAAATACTGACATTTGATAGTTTAAACAAAGTATATCATTCATGTAAAAATCATGTTGTAGCATGTAAAATTTAATTAGAAAATTCATAGTTCACAAAAGTACATATATTTTGTTGACAGCTCATGAGAACATTATCATAAATGTACTTAAGATACAGAACAAAATTCACAGCTGGGCTTGACATTTGAGTACTAAAAAATTTTACGCTGAATCCAGATACTTTTGTTAGTAAGGTGCACTTGAAATAATCAATTCATAGACTACCAACAAACTGATACTTTATCGCGCAACCAAAACTTGTTGGTTTTACAATAAGTCTATCAATTATTTCACCGATGATTTAAATTACAGATCTATTTGCAAATACCATTGACACACATTCTTATGCTTAAAACAGAAATACTAGCAGCTTGGATTCCCATTTGCGTGAATATACAAGATAAATCTGTATTTTACAGTTAAAATTCATACAAAAAGTCAAGCCCTGAAGTATTTTTTTCCAAGAGAAAACTTAATGTTAAAACTTTGTTTAAAAAAAAAAAAGAGAAAGAGAGGTAGTGTGTGAGCATTCTTACTTAAATGTTGAACCCCTGCACCACTTATGTCATAAATGAACTTTAACCCCCAAAATACTTATGCTATTTTGCCATTCTAGAGCCAAATTTTGAAAACGCACTGAATGGCAGAGCTGGACGGCCATTAAATAGTGGTGTACAAATGGGAGAATTTCAGTGAATTCAACAAAACCTACATTGTATTACATGATATTGTGCAGTTGATTAATAGTTTAGTGGTAATACGAACAAAATACATAGAAGTATTTTGAGTCAAGTGGTCTTCATGTAATCAAGACTTTACTTCTCCTATTTTTAAGATAGAGAAAAAACATCCTTCAAATCGGAGTCGGTTGATTCTTCATTGTTTTAATAGCACACAATTGTTATAAAGGTATTCATACTAATCTTATAATAAAATTAATTAATAAATAACTCTGGGAGAAATGCCCATAAGCCATAAGGAACTTATGTACATAATAGTCTTAATTTCTATTTACAAGCATACCGTAGTAGTGTCTGTGCACATTGTACAGTGATATGTACCAAGAAGTCAGGCTATGGAGAAAAGCTAGCAGCTTCGCTCTGGACATGTTCGACACGGATACGTTGGAAAATAAATAGAATTAGAAAAATGAACAGTGATAAACTTTACCTGTCAAAGGGGAATGCATTATTTCTTATAAAGTGTAGGCAGTGTTCACTAAAGAAAGTAGAAATTTCTTTTTGTATAAAAAGTGCATGAGTTTGTCCTGTATATAAAACCCTCTTAATTTGTGTGCATTTCCCCCATCTAAAACAATTTAAACTACTGGAATACACTGAAAGCGCACATGAGCACACCAACAAAACACACAAACAGAAAAAGGAATTCTTTCCAGTGAACCTGGGAGAGTAATGGGCTAAAGAACTGTTTCACTGATCCAATGAGTGGAATGGTTTTTAAATGCAAACAATACCTACTTGGATTTAGTTTGTAAATATTCCAGCTATGGAATGGACAGACACTACCTGGAATAACTGTCACAGAATTTCTTAATTCAGGAACATAGTCTTTTTTCTTAGAAATTAGTGAAAGCAAAAAACAAAAAACACACACACTTCAGAAAATAATCTGTTAAAAGGAGCAACACAGGAACATAATGCTGGGAACACTGGAGCTAAGAAGGTCCCCAGGGTACCAAAAGCAGTTAAGACTCAGGCTTCTTCATTCACATTAGGATTTAACAAACAAACAAACAAACAAACACCAGCTAAAGGGAAAATGAACTGGGCTCTGCACAGCAGGTTAAATATGCAACCACTTCAAACGGAAATGATCTGGTCATGCCTCCCAGAGTCCTGAAAATGTGCTCTAATATCCAGTTTTCCAGACAAAACAGCGAAAGCACGAGGAGATTTCATCAGCAAAGGCCTTGTTGTTTTAGACTCACATTCACCTCTGACGCCAAGTTTACATTAACAATTGTCAACCTCGCATTATTATCTTTGTCGTGTCTATTCCGTGTCTCTGGTCCAGGTGTATGTCTGCTTTACACAGCCAAATGTCCAAGTCCCCACGGCGTCCTCTCTGAGAGAACAATCTAGCATGGTTTCATAACGTAATGATCGTTCCATCTTCTTCTAACAGGTTTTGATCTGGAGCATATGTTTCCAATTCTGTGTTTGTACTACTACTTGCTAGGCGTGCCAAGTTCATGTGCTGAGAAGGAATACAACCGTTCTGTCCAGGCTCGAAACGGAGTTCTATCTGTGTCAATGATTCCAGGCTCTCCGCAGTGGGAACTGCTGTGGGACTATGCTGTGGCACTCCGTTACCGTCAAGAATAACGTCTTCGTCGCTGTCTTCATCCTCCAGCCCGAAGCTGGGCTCTATCTGCTGCGAGTAGTTTAGAAGGCTGGTGTCAGCAGACTGGCCGGAGCTGCCTGAAGTCCGACTGTTCCTGACAACGTTATTTCTCTGGTTTGCGGGTCTCACGGTTATGATGAGGTTGCGGCTGTTTGCGATCATCATGTCTGTTACTTGATCAAGACTCTTCCCTGAAACTTCTATGCCATTGACTTCTAAGACTTCATCGTTAACTGCCAACAGTCCCGTGCTTTGTGCCAGACCTCCTGGGACCAGCCTGGATATGAAGATCCCAGGGACTTTCTCTAACCCATGTGGCGTCACCCTGACCCTGGACCCATCCCGGATGTAGAATCCCAGCGGTTTCTCAATGCCGTATTTGTACAGACGGACTCTCCGATGTGTTTCTGGAAGTATGTCCACATCAATGATGGAAGACACAGGTCGGAAGTCTTGGGGCATGCTAATGACAATATGAGGCTTTTTTCTGTGGTTGTCAGGACGTAATACATTACTTAACACATTTTTCTTCTTTGTTAGTGGGTCTGTACCAAAGACACTGTAGTCTGCTTCTTCTGTTCAAAAAGAAAAGAAAAGAATTATAGAAATGATGTGAAAAACACCACTTGTATCTATATGTACACTTGTATCTGTATGTATTTGGAAGCAGGAGTGGCATCCACTTCCTAAACAACATGCCTCTTGAAACTCTATGACCTTTGATAAATGTCGATAGTTGTAGATGTGCTTCAGGCCTTTTGTTCATGGGGTCAGTATGAGTCGTGCTCGACTCGAAGGCACTCAACAACAACATTTATGTGTACAGAAAGGGTAACTTAAACGGCTCTGAGTACACAAACAAATGAAATATTAACTTATTCCAATCAGAGCATAACCTAGTTAAGATATGCCATATCAAAGAGAACCACTAGGTGGACCTCTCAAGCACGTATCAAAATTTAATAAAGTTGTTTCTGGTAAAATATGAAATGTACAAGACAAATATTAAATATACATAAACAACTCAGATTCAACCATGACCTTATTCACTGCTTTAGTATTAGAAAACAAAACAAATACCTCACTTTGATGAGAATTTAAAGAGAGAAATGTCTGGGAAAAATACATGTCAGAGACTTTTGTACAACTCCCCCTTAGAAACAAAACTCAAAAATAAGTGAAATGGGTACATATCAAAACAGGAATTTTGATCTTCCCATTTACAATGAAACACTTCTTCCTCAAGTCTTCTGAGGAGCTAGCTGTTAATCTTTCTTTTCCCATTTTTTAACAAGATAAAAGTATTAAGATTTTGAGTGTCTTTCTTTATTCTGTGAAGAACAGTAAGTGCAAAGACGTTCTGTCTCTGTGAGGTGACAGTGACTGGCACGGACACTCCTCTGCTCAGTTCTCTCAAGAGCTGCAGGAATCCAAGTTCCATTTTTTTAGGAGATGCCAGAAAGCCATGTTTCCAAGTAAAACCATCTCAATTAAAAACTCTGATACTTGCAGAGTCGTAGTAACAAAACAGCATGGTACTGGTACAATGACACACACATAATCAATAGACTGGCACTGAGAACCCAAAAATCAACCCATCTACCTATGGTCAACTGATGCTTGACAAGCAACAAAACTTGTTAAATAGGTAAAGGACAGCCTTTCTTACAAATGGTGTGGGTTAACCTGGACATCTATCTACCTGCAGGAAACTGAAATAAGATCCACATCTCACACCTGATAAAGATCATAAGAGACAAAATGGGAATAAAGTTAGAAGTCCTAGCCTATGGCATAAATAGGCAAAAATGCACAACCAGGAGAGGATACAATCTTGACGAATGTGACCCTCTTAAAATCAAATCCCTGTGTGCATCAAAATCAAAAGCTCATAGAAAACAATGAGATACCATCTCACCCCAGCAGCAGTAGCAAAGTTTAACAACACAGCAAACAATAAATGTTAGAGAGGATACAGAGAGATTGGGTCTCATGCATTGCTGGTGGAATTGTAAAATGGTACAATCTCTATGGAAGGCAGGTTGGTGTTTCTTCAAGAAATGAAAACAGAAATCCCTATGATCTAGCAGTTTCAGTCCTGGGACTGTATCTCAATGAAATTAGAACTGAGACACTTATGTTCATAGCAGTGTTATTCAAAATAGCAAGAAAATGGAAACAGCACAAGTGTCCATCAACAAGTGAATGGATTGAGAAATTGTGGTATATTTACACAATGGAGTACTATGCAGCACTAAGGAACAATGATTTCATGAAATACTATATAATACGGCAGAATCGAGAGTATTATGCTGAGTGAAATAACTCAGGCATAAGGACAAATACTGTGTAAGACCACTATTGTGAAAATAAAATGTTCTAAAGGGGAACAGGAGAAGGGAGGGTAGAAAAGGGGGGATCATTAGGATAGTAGGTTAGTGGTTAAGGAACGGAGACTTGACATTATATAGTGATAAGAGGCACAGATCTAGTAACTAGTATATAATCTAGCTAGTAACTAGTATATAGTAATGAGTTCTATTGTGGAATCACGGAATAACTAGTATGAGGACAGAATGACAAACATCCATTTGCCAAAGTTTCTATGTTTCCCTCTATTTTTGTTGTCAGAAGTTGATGACAACGGAAATGAAAAAGCCAGGAAATTTCAAGAACAGTTCAAAATCCAGAGGCCATAAATCGAACGGAGAGAGACTACCCATCTTTCTCCTGCAGAACTGCTGGTGGATTTGAACCATGTGCCTTTGGGTTAGTAGCACAACATCTTACCCGTTAGGCCAGCAGAGCTACCATCTTGTGGTCAGCATCCCATAATGTAACCCGCTAATGTAACTAGGGATCCCTATGGTAAAATCAGAACTGCGTTCATGAGGCAAGTGTGTCTCTCCTCTTGGTGAACTCTTCTCATCTCCACTGTACAACAGGAAATTAAAGGAATGAAATCAAGAACCAGAACATACGTTTTCTTACTAAGCTGTCAACTTCATACAATCAATGTTCAGAGTCAAGTGACCAAAATCATCTGTCTTTTCTGATGCTGTTTGAACACTTTAAAACCCAGTTTCTAGTCAACATTCAAGACCAGGTATACCTTATTTTTCTTTTTCTGGGGGTACCTTTTGTTCTCATTAATAAAGCATTTACATGTGTTCTTACAGAGACTGATTTATTTGGAATTTGACTTAGAAAAGAAACCCATTAAGACAACAAACTTTTTTGGCAAAAGTGGGCCAAAATACTCAAGAAAGAAAAGCTGTCTACTGTGTACGCTTTCTCAAACCCTGGCATTTTCATTTCAAAATCGTCCACCATGAGAGCCTACAGCGCACTGAGAAAGGAAATTCCAAACCATACAAACTGAGAACAAGATGAAGCTGCCCACATACCTACGCATGGGAAACCTGACCAAGCCCCCCCCCAATCTGCATAACTTGGCACCACGTCCAGACTTGGTTTGAATTCTCCCTGCTAAATTCTCAAAAGCAATATGCCCCAGTACAAAGGCACCTTTGTTCTCCCATCGAGCTAATCAGTTTCCAGCCACTGGGAAAAGAAATATTTTGGCCAGACGCCAGGGTACAGGGTGTTAGTTGAAAGTGTAAAGGTGAATGTCCACAGGGAATGGAGGCTGACTTTCTACCTGCGTCCACGGCGAGCGAGCACTGAACACGGGAGGGACGTAAAGTTTGGAAACTTGATGCACTGCCACCTTCTGCTTGTATAAACGTAGCTTATGTAACAACACAGGGCAGGTTTATACAGCAAAACTCGACTCATTCCAGCCTGGCCCTCCTCGGCCAGCCACGGCAGACCAGGTCCACCTGCCGGGCCTCTGAGCACCGAGCTGGATGTCTCACTTCGTCACACACAAAGCCTTCCCGTGCAGTCCTCCCCGAGCAGCCATCTCTGGGAACCTCATATTCTTGAAACATGAATTCTGAAAAGCCTGGTTACTTTGTTTCCTAACCTCCAGAGGGTCCCAAGTCACAGCTTCAGAGCAGTGAGGGTGAGTGGCGGGCACAGACGCAGGAATTACAGACTTACTCCAAGTGCCAAGCAAATCTGAAAACCCGCACAAAACTCTTCAGTACCCTGTAAAGAGCCCAGGTGCACTTCCTGGGAGAGGTGGCAAGAGCATGCAGCATAATGTCTGAAGTTCCAGGAAGACAGGGAAGAATTAAGTCATTTGAAAATATTCTAATCGGGGCTTCTGTAAAGCACAGGTAGTAAATATTTTGGTGTAAAACAGTCACAAAACAACATGTAAATGAAAGGGCTGTTTTCCTAGAAAACCTTATCAGCAAGCATTTGTTGTTGTGAGTCATAGCAATCCTGTGAACAACAGATCTGAATCTTGTCCTATCCTGTGCCATCTTCATAATCTGACACATTAGAGCCGACAGGGGTAGTCACTGCATCAAGCCACCTGGCTGAGGGCCCCTCATTTGGTGAGTGCCAACTATGTGCCAGGCACTGCGCTGCACTGTAAATTCAGGGAACACAACAGATATTATGCCTGATTCTAACAATGTCAAATAACTAAATTATTAAGCGTGGTGGGAAGAGCTGACGTGTGTTGGGCACGTGTGGGGATGTGTCAATGGCAACCCAGCCTGACGTGCAGGAGAAAGAAAACTTCTCTCTCAAGGCTTCTATGGAGACTGGAAACAGAGGCCAGAGAAGTTAGTCAGGTAAAAGGGTGGGGAGAACATTCCAGGCCCAGGAGACAAATAGCGGGGAGAGGACAGGCGAAGAACCCAATGCTGGCATGCCTCCCTACTCTGCTGCCCTTCACGGACAAAGTGTGGCTTTTATTTGTTTATTTGTAAATTGGACGCCTGTGGCAACCCCGAAGTGAGCAAGTCTACTGGCCCATTTTCCAATAGCCTCTGCTCACTGTTTCTTATCACATTCTGATAACTCTTAGAAAACCCCAAACAATTTTATCACACTAATGTGCACTTCTTCCTAGCCTGTCTTATCTGGAAGTTCTGTTTTAGTACAGCATCTGACAGACAGGCAATAAACATACATATCTAAGTTACAAGAACATGCAAAACACTTCCCCAACACCACTGGCACCAGCAGTCAGGAAATCAAAAGCCAAGCTGCAAGAGAAAATCTGTCAAGGATCTCTCCAGAATCCTAAAGAGCAAAGATGTCAGTCTAGAGACTAAGGTGCGCCTGACCCAAGCCATGGTCTTTTCACTTGCTTGCTCTGCATCTGAAAGCTGGACAGTGACGAAGGATGACAGAAGAAAAAATGTATACTTTGAGTTGGGGTGCTAGACAAGAGTACTGAACATCCTGTGATGCCAAGAGAACAAACAGGTCCTAGAGAAAGTAAAACCAGGGTGCTCCTTGGAGGCAAGGATGGTGAAACTCTGTCTCACACCCTCTGGGCATGTTGTCAGGAGAGGCCAGTCTTTGGAGAAGGATATCATGCTTGGAAAGACGGAGGTCAAGAGAGGAAGACCCTTGATGAGATGGAGAGACACAGTGACTGTAGCAAGGAGTAAAATGTGTGGATGGTGAAGTCAGTTCAGGACAGGTC